GGGGGTGCAGCCGATCAATGATTCTCTCATCATTGATGTTTCTATCTCTCTCCCTCTCCCTTCCTCTCTCTGAAATCAATAAAGATATATTTTTAAAAATGTTTTTCAAAGTACTGTAATTTAAAAATATTTTTAACTTGACAGAGTATCTTGAGCATAAAATGTTTACCACTGAGAAATGATGTTGCAGCCTAGTAGTGAGCTAACAGGGTTTGTCTTTCTGCACATACCTTGAGACTATTTACACATTTGAAAGAATATTTGCATTTCTTTGATTTCCATTTTCCCTTCCCCCAGCTTTTCCTTCCAGGCGCATTTGGTGTATTTGTAGGTGTATCAGGGCGTTCAGTGTTTGTGCCACTTTCTATACTGACAGCATCATCCTGTAAGCAGTAAGTTAGAAAAAATTACATAAAACAGCAATACTGTACTTAGGCAAATTACTTTTTACTGGGCAGCTACTGATTGACCTAAAAGAATAAATTCCGCAAGTACTGGAAAATTTTATTCCTATCTCCAAAAGATAAAAAGCAAAGCAGCTACACATTAGGATTTGTGAATATTTGATATTTCAGCAAAAAGATAAACAAAAAAAAGCTAATCAGAAAAACGGTAATAATAATACTGCCTTTAAATAACAACACACTGGTCCTTCATAGCTCTCCGCAGAAGGTACCGTTAGATAAGAAGTGTAAGAGAGCCTGTGTAGAAAAGAAAAAAAAAAAGGAGAACTAAATTAAAAAAGAAAGAAAACAACGAAAAAGAGAATCTAGGTAGTCTTCTGCATGTTAGGGTTGCTGGGATTCCAACCCAAAGTTGTGACTTCTAAATCTGACTTAACTGCATGTCTTATAATTTAATATATTTTAATATAATTTATATATTTATTTGCTGCTCAGATCAGAGCATTGGGGGCAGGGGTGGCCATTTGAGGCTGGACAGTTATGCTTTCTACTTTAGATGCAGTTTTCAAAAATCCTTTCATCATTCAAATTATTGTTATTTATAACAAAAACCATTCAGTATTTTTAAGAAGTCCTACATATTCTGTACAGCTGAAATCTGACTCATAGTTCTAAAATAATGATATTCATAAATACAGGGTGGTCCAAAAGTAGGTTTACAGCTGTTCATATGGAAAATAATGCCCTAATTAATATAACTGTTTCAAATACTCACAACTGTAAACCTAATCTTGCCTCACCCTGTGTTAGAATTCCAGAAACTCTATAAAGTAAATACCTTGCAAATGTAGAGATGATAGCAGAAAACCTTGAAAATTCACCTAATTTTTACCTAATCTCCAGTCCACAAGATATAATGGCCCTTTAATCTCAGAAGAGGATTTCACTAGCTCCTTTGATTACATATTACAATGTGTTCTTAGTAATAGAGATTTATTTAAACCTATCACCTTAGAGCAGTAGTTAACTAAATACATTCCAGAAGAAGCCTTTTTTCATGGAGTGCCTATTAACATCTATGAGAACACACAGTCAAGGAACCATTGCCTTAGGGACTATTTCTAAATTATTGCTTCCTAAAGCTGGCTTTATATTATAAAGGTTAAAATTAACTAGAGTGGCAAAAAGTTATTAAGAATTCACTTAAAAACAAAAAGGTATTATGTAGTAGTTCTTGGGGGTGGCTTTCAAAACTGCAAACAGTTCCTACCAAAATGACATGCTATTTATTTTTAAAAATTATTTTTTAACCCTCACCCGAGGATATTTTTTCCATTGCTTTTCAGAGGGGGGGAGGG